CGTCGGCGTTCGGCAGCGGTGCCGTCTTGGTGTGCCACCGGCCGCCCGACCTACCGGAAGGTTCCGAGAAGGTTCTGAGAAGGCTCCAGCGCCACCTTGGGAGGTGCCGCTGGCAGCTGGACCGGCGAGACTGCTGCTTCTGCTGCGCGTACGCGCCGACGCCGCCCGCCCGCGCGTCCTCTTGTTCTCCGGGCGCCTGAGAGGAGGAGGGGGGAGCAATCGTGTCACCGCCGACGGAGCTACCGGGGGCGAGGGGTGGCGGGGGGGGGCGGCGGCGCGCGCCTGGATCCGCTTCTTGGACGCCTTGCGCCACTTGTTGTACAGCTCGCCGTCGGTGATCGGCTTGCCGTCCTTGCCCTTCTTGGCGGAGATCACGTTGCCCGACTCGTCTCGCTGCCTCTTCCCCCCGCGGCTGGGGAGCAGGTCCGCCACAGCGCCAACCTGGCCGAGCGTCTCGCGGACGTACTTCTTCTTGCGCGCGTCCCACCGCATCACCGACCGCTTGCGCTGGATCCCGTCGCGCTCGTCCTCGAGCAAGTCGAGGACCGCCTCGCCGAGCTTGTCGACGCGGTCCCCGACACCGACGCGCAGAAACTCCTCCGCGTCGTCGGTCGGCGCCGCCTCCTTGCTCATCGGCATGAAGAAGCCCGCGTCGCGAAAGTCGTCTCCCGACTTCTTCTTCGCCTTCTTCTTCGGCGCCCCCGCCGCCAGCGTGCCGCCGCCAGAGGAGGAGGCGGCGGAGGAGGAGGCGGCGGAGGAGGCGGAGGCAGCGACTCGCCCGGGTCCGCGCTGCTGGGGCGGCGGCAGCGGCGCGGGCTGCTGCTGCTGTTGCTGCTGCTGCTGCTGCTGCTGCTGCTGCTGCTGCTGGGGCGGCAAGCTGCGCGGCGCCGAGAGCGCCTTGCGCCTCGCAATCGCCGCCGACGCCTCGACGCCGCCCACGCCCGAAGCTCCGGGCCGGAAGGTCTGCAGTCGCGCGATGAGCGACACCCGAGACGCCTCTGCCGCCGGGTCGTCGGCGGCGGCGAGGAGCGGGTGGACGCCAATCTCCGCAGGCAGGCTGCGCGCGCGGCGGGCAGACTCTTTCGAGGCGGCGCCGCGCGTCTTTCGGTACATGATGCTTGCCCGGCTTGCGACGCGGGCGAGCTCCGCTGCCTCTGGCCTCTCGGCGTACACGGCCTGCACATACTCCACCTCGTGCGAGAGGAGAGAGACGGCGGATGAATGGCGAAGTCATTCGCTGATTTACTACTAACTAACTTGCTCCACCTCGTGCGAGAGGAGCGAGACGGGGAAGCGGCCGAGCACGAGGCAGCCTGCGGCGGGGTCCGGAGGCGCCGCTCGAGCGCCGCCGCTGTCCGCCTCGGAGGGGACGGCGGCGACGGGGCGGCCGAGGTAGAGGGAGAGGTCGAGGAGGTAGGGCAACTCCTCCGGCTCGACCAAGGAGACGGCCGTGCCTAAAGACGCGTCCACGTCGTCCCTCGCCAGGCAGCTCCTGCCCGCGCAACCGCTCGAGCAGGCTGCGGCGCCGGCGCGGCCCGCGCGAGCCGCACGGCCGCAGCGGTGCACGAAGAGCTTCGGCTTGGTCGGGAAGTCAAAGTTGACGACCTGTTCACACACATCGTCATGAGCAGCTCTCAGTGTGAATGATGATGACTGGGGGAGTGGCAACTCGGCTAACACCTATTCATGAGCAGCTCTCAGTGTGAACGATGGTGACTGGGCGAGTGGTGGTCGCGAGGTCAACGCCGACGACGGCGATGATATCTCGGCTGCCTCTCGGCTACCTCTCGGCTGCCTCTCGGCTGCCTCTCGGCTACCTCTCGGCTACCTCTCGGCTACCTCTCGGCTATGTCTCGGCTATCTCTGACGTTGTCAAGGAGGGGGACGTCGATGCCACGCGCAGCCACGTCCGTCACCACCAGCACCCGAGCCTTGCCTTAATTATCAATTAACGCACTGATCAATTATGAACTCGCTTCCATCACCGCGAGCACCCGAGCCGTGCCTGCGCGGAACTTGCCGAGGGCGATCTTGCGCGCGGCGGGGTCGAGCGTGCCTTAGTTAATCAGTAGTTAACTAGTGATTAATTAGTGATCTGAGGGCGATCTTGCGCGCGGCGGGGTCGAGCGTGCCGTAGATGGCGGCTGCCTCGAGGCCCGCCTCGAGCAGCAGCGTGTGGAGCATCTCGACGTGGTGCCGCGTCGAGGCGAAGACGATGGTCTGAGCCTGCGAGATTACTAATCAGCGCCTCATTGCTTACTGGTCAGTGAGTGAGTGAACTAGTGACTAGGTAGTCCGCCTGCCGCTCGAGGACGCGCGAGAGAGTGAGCAGCAGCGCCGCCTGCTTGTCCTGCGGCCGCACGCGCAGGAACTCGACGCGGAGCGAGTCGGAGAGCTTCGTCTCTAGGTCGAGCCTACTTAGTGATTAATTAGTGATTAATTCCTGATTACTTAGTCGGAGAGCTTCGTCTCGAGGTCGAGCCTTATCAGCTGCGGCTCGTGCAGCTGCGCGCGGGAGAAGTCGGCGAGGATGGCCGGCATGGTCGCCGAAAAGAGGCACGTCTGCCGCCCCTCCGGCATGGAGGCGAGGATGGCGTGCAGCTGCGTCGCGAAGCCCATCTCGAAGAGCCGGTCCGCCTCGTCGAAGACCACGTACTCGACGCGGCCGAGAGAGAGCTGCGCGTCCAGAAGGACGTGCTGCAGCCGGCCTACACAGACCAGCCTCTTCACACGGGTGAGCACACACCACCATCATCCGGGGTGCAAGGAGGTGCTGCAGCAGGCCGGGCGTCGCGACGAGGGCGTCCGGGTTGGCGGCGAGGAGGGAGAACTGGTCCTCCATCGAGTCGCCGCCCACCAGCAGGCAGAAGCGGAGCGGCGGCGAGACAAAGTGCGACAGCTCGACGCAGAAGCGGTGCGTCTGCAGGGCGAGCTCTCGCGTCGGGGAGAGGACGGTCGCGCGGACGCCAACCGTGGTCGAGTGCCCCTTGAGCCGCTCGAACATCGGCAGCAGGAACGCCGCCGTCTTTCCGGAGCCGGTCCGCGCCATCGCGACGACGTCCTGCCCCGCGAGGATCGGAGGGATCGCCTTGCGCTGGATGGGAGTGGGCACGCGGTAGCCCTTGCGGAGGACGGACTTGTACACGCCCTGCGACAGCCCGAGCGCGCCGAACCCGCCACTCTTCTTCCCTCCCCGCGCCGCCCTGCCCTCCTCCTCCTCGCCCGCCATGTCGTCGTCGTCGCCGCTGTCGAGCTCGTCCGGACCAGGAAACTCGACCACGGCGTCGCGGCCGTGCGTCGAGGACGACGGGAGGTCGGCGCCCTCCGCAGGGCGCTGCTTCCGCTTGGGAGCCGGAGCGCGCGTCGTGCCCATCCGCTGCATCGGCTGTGGCTGCTGTGGGCTCGGTGGCTCGGGTGGGCTCGTGGCCGTATAGGTACTAGGTACCCGCGCCGGACAAAGAAATAAAGCACATTTTTCTTTTTTTAGCGCCTTCGTTGTTTATAGTACAAACCCAATGGTCCCTTGCGAGCGGTCCTTCGTTGCAGTCGCACACACGCACACGCCGCGCCGCACCGCGCGCCCGCCCACTGCCCCGCCCAGGATTTTTCTTGGTTCGAAGGGGACGAGATCCGTTTGACTGCCTCTGGGGCACTGTGAACATTGCGGAGCTGCGACGGCACGGCGGCCGCAGTCGCAGCGCCGTCGGCTGCGGCCGCAGACACGCCACAGACTGCTACCAAACGCTGCTTCGCCTGCCTCGCGAGCAAGTCTGCGGCGCATTACTCAAAGTCTCAGTGGGCAATGAATCTCGCCAAGCCGGCACGCCTGCGGAAACTCCTGGCGAGCGCCTTCTCGGCGAGAAGGAACGGGCTGCGCATCGGTCAGAGCGCGGGTGAAGAAAAACTCGCGGCGGGGGCAATCCCGAGAGTCAATGCGATTGCAATATCCAAATTTAATCAGGTCTCAGCTCGGGAGCAACAATTGATTGCAGTCCAATTCCATGCGATCGCACACTCCACACTAAAAAAGAAAGGTCCCCTTAGTAAACGTGTGGCCTCCACGAGCGACAGCGCGAGTTGTGTGTGTGGGTTGTTGCACGAGTACAGTTGTACACACATACACACACTGAGAGAGAGAGAGAGACAAGGGAGAGGGAGGCGCGATTTCTAGGCCCTTGGGGGGCCTACCAATCAGTTGTGTTATGGGCCAAGTTTTCCATGGCGGGCAGCATCGGAATGCTTGCCCGCCCGGCGCCGCGCCCGCGAGAGGCTGCGGCGCCACCGAGCAGGCTGACGCCGCCGACGGAGGCTCTAGCTCCGTCGTCGGCGGCAGCTCGCTCTGCGGCTACTCCGCGGAGAGCAGCCGCGTGCAAAAGCGCTGAGCAACTGCCAGATGCAGCGCCTGCTGAGCTGCTGCCTCTGCTGCCGGCGCCGCTGTACTGCTGCGCGGCACCCGAGCCCGGCTGCTGCTGCTGCTGCCCGCAGCCGTTCTGCTCGCTGCCGTGCTCGCTGCCTCAGCTCGGCGGCTCGCTGCCTCAGCTCGGCGGCTCGCTGCCTCAGCTCGGCGGCTCGCTGCCTCAGCTCGGCGGCTCGCTGCCTCAGCTCGGCGGCTCGCTGCCTCAGCTCGGCGGCTCGCTGCCTCAGCTCGGCGGCTCGCTGCCTCAGCTCGGCGGCTCGCTGCCTCAGCTCGGCGGCTCGCTGCCTCAGCTCGGCGGCTCGCTGCCTCAGCTCGGCGGCTCGCTGCCTCAGCTCGGCGGCTCGCTGCCTCAGCTCGGCGGCTCGCTGCCTCAGCTCGGCGGCTCGCTGCCTCAGCTCGGCGGCTCGCTGCCTCAGCTCGGCGGCTCGCTGCCTCAGCTCGGCGGCTCGCTGCCTCAGCTCGGCGGCTCGCTGCCTCAGCTCGGCGGCTCGCTGCCTCAGCTCGGCGGCTCGCTGCCTCAGCTCGGCGGCTCGCTGCCTCAGCTCGGCGGCTCGCTGCCTCAGCTCGGCGGCTCGCTGCCTCAGCTCGGCGGCTCGCTGCCTCAGCTCGGCGGCTCGCTGCCTCAGCTCGGCGGCTCGCTGCCTCAGCTCGGCGGCTCGCTGCCTCAGCTCGGCGGCTCGCTGCCTCAGCTCGGCGGCTCGCTGCCTCAGCTCGGCGGCTCGCTGCCTCAGCTCGGCGCTGCGCATCGCCGTCCAGCGGCGCCTCGGGCTACCACTTGACGAGGCGCTCGCGCGGGGCGCGCCGACCTGCTCGGCGCGCGACGGCAAGGTGCAGGACCCGTTGGGCGACGCGGCCAGCAACATCGGCCGCCTCGGGCACTGCGGCCGCCACAACAGCCTCCTCGCCGCCCTGGCCAAGGTCATGCGGAGCGTGTGGGGCATGCTCGTCGAGGTGGAGCCGCGGGACCACCTCGGCTACTCTAACGACTACCGGCCCGACGTCTCGGTGGCGGGCGCCGGCCGCTCGCGCTCGCGCCTCATCGGCGACGTCAAGTTCAAGGACTCGCTCTCCTCCAACCCGGAGGACGTCGGCCAGCGAGGCGCTTTCGTCGGCCTCGGCAACACCGAGCCCGGCACGAGCGCGGACGTCTTCGGCCTCGAGCAGCGCGGCGCTGTCGGGGACGGCGACTTCAGGCCGAGCGACGGCGGCGGCTATGTGGCGTACAAGAAGGCGGACTACGCGCACGCCCTCTCGCGCTCGGACACCGACGTGCAGATGTACCTGTTTGAAACCTTCGGCGGGTGGTGCAACGCGGTCAAACGGCTGTTCTACCAGATGAAGGACAAGGTGCGCAACAAGCTCTCGAAGCGGCAGCACGAGGACGAGGCGAGCTGGTCGACGCGGTCGTGGCTTTCGCTGCAGGCCCAGCGCATGTCAGTCGCGCTGCAGCTCGCGGCGGCGGAAGAGATTGCGACCGAGCTCAGGCTCGCCGCGGCGTCGGAGGACGCCGCCGTCGCCTAGACTCCCCTGCGTCACTACGTGCCTCCCCGTCTTTGTAGCCTGGCGTTTGTGCCCCGTTTGTGCCGCGTCCCGTGCCCCCGAGTTCATTTCATATGTTATGGGCCAAAAGCGTCGAAAATGTCCGAAAAAGCGTCTCGAGTTTGTGGCAGCTCCGCAGCCAGCGCGGGCTGCCGGGACGCACCGCTCGCGCGTTCGGCACACTCGGTGGACCCCACCGAGTGTGCCGAACCAGCTGGAGTGAGTAGGCTCGACGCCGCGCTCGCTGTGGAGCTGCCACAAACTCGCCGCCGAGCGTGCCACCGAAGGCGTCCCGTCGGAGGTGATGGAGTTTGAGACCTGAGGCTGCGGAGGTGACGCCTGAGGTACCGGCCCGTGCACAGCGACTCAGCCGGCGACCGCCACGGGCTCAGACGAGACTTGTCGACTCGTTACGGCTCAGCTTCACCGTGGTCATCGGGCGTCTGTCGACGTCAGGACCACCCATACAGCTCGCGGGTTTGAGGTCGCAAGAGCCAAGATGGTGGCGTGTGGACATCCCAACCATCACACAAGACAGCCTGTAGGTGATGGCGGGACGGCGCAGTGTTTGTGGCACTCAGCAGTATAGGCACCCGCGGCACGGCCCCGCTGTCGGCTCTCGCGGGCTGCGGAACCGGACCCAGAAGGGGATGGTCCGGGCGAGTGTGGCAGCTCCTGCGGCAGTATGGGCACCCTCTATCACAAAGCTACTGATCCTGGTCATTAGAGCTGCCAGGGATAGCGTCAGGAGCCGGTAGGAGTCAAAACCCCTCATATTTGCGAAGACATCGTGGCCCATATACTCGCGTGCCTTTACCCGTGTACCACTCTGTTCGCCGTGTGCGTGTCTGTTGTTGATGTTGTATCAACTGTGGGCTGTGGCTCTCTTTCCTTGTTGTTTGGTTGGAGTTAGACTTAGAGCGCCCATGCATTCGACGCGACCGTCACAATAAAACTGAGTGAGCCTGAGAGGAGCGTGTGAGGCTCGCTAGTGCAGCGCCACCTCCCCGGAGCGCTGGAAGTGCTCCCACGCCGCAATCTCATGCTGGTCGCGCGTCTCGCGCGACCGGATGCAGCACTTGTGGTGGCTCTGAGGCTGGTAGTAGGCGTAGCGACGGTTCATGTCGCGGCAGCAGTCGTCGGTGGCGTTCGTCTCCATGCCGTAGACGTCGATGCGCTGTCCCTTGTTGCACAGCTCTCGCGCCATTAGGAGCGTGAGGAATCCGCCCGAGAGCGCGAGGCGACGGTACTCGTCGCTTCCGCTGCGCACGCCGCGCCCGCTCTCGGCCTTGACTTGCATCGCGGCACGCTCAAACGCCGGCCGCGCCGTGCACAGCTTGCGCCTACATGGGAAGGAAAGAAGAACTAACTGTGCGCGCGGATTTGTAGCACCACCGGCACATAGCCCACGACGTGAGGTTTAGCGCTGCTCGCTCACGGCTCAGCCGTAGAAAGATGCGGCGACCGCCCGCCTCGTACCTCGCCCGGTCCGCCTTCTTCAACGCGTAGACGCACGTCTCGCCGCTTCCGGCACGGCAGATCGAGCGCGCGTCGCTCGGCGCGCTCCCATGCAGCGACTCGCAGCCCTGACAGGTCGCAGCCTCCCTGCCCCGCCGATTGCTGGCCACCGTGTAGTCGCCAAGGAGCAATCGCATCGTCCCGTCGCCTATCACCCGGTGAGTCGTCTTCCTGCCGACGTAGTCCTCGTAGCCCAGCACCGGCGCGTGATTGACTCGAAAGACGCACTGGTGGCCGTCTATCAAGGCGCCGTGCTTGCCGTGCAGCCGGAGGCGGTCGGAGCTGCCCACCACCGCGCACGTGTCACACGCGTCGGTGTCCACGCACTCTGCCGGGCCAGCTGTTGCTGCTGCTGCGGAGGTTGCTGGTGCTGCTGCTGCGGCGGGTGTGGAGACGGCGGCGGCGGCGGTGGAGACGGCGACGGCGGGTGTGGAGACGGCGACGGCGGCGGTGGAGACGGCGACGGCGGGTGCTGCAGCTACTGGTGCTGGTGCTGGGGAGGCCGCTGGTGCTGCGGAGGCTGCTGGTGCTGCGGCGGGTGTGGAGACGGCGGCGGCGGGTGTGGAGACGGCGGCGGCGGGTGTGGAAACGGCGACGGCGGGTGTGGAGACGGCGACGGCGGCGGTGGAGACGGCGACGGCGGGTGTGGAGACGGCGACGGCGGCGGTGGAGACGGCGACGGCGGGTGCTGCAGCTAC